ATCCTTTTATTTTAGAGTTGACCCTATTTTAGCTTAAGTTGTTTTTAAGGCCAAATTCTTTTTTTAAAGTTTATTTTATTTCTTCCACAAGAGAGACAGAGAGAGAGAAAGAAACACAGAGACATACAGCCCTACTAGGATCTCACACTATGATCCACTCCCAGTCTAAGCCAGCCAGGATTCCATCACATACACACATTCTCTGCACGCTTAGGGGGTTCCAGAGTGCAAACCCAGGACCTTTCTCATGTGGGCACAGTTGTATTACCGCTATGCCATCATCTGGCCCTTGGAACCAAATTCTAACATTAGGATCTAAAGAAAAGAGGGGCCAGCAGGTGGTGTGGTGGTTAAAGGTGCTGGATTCCCACATGGCTGACTGTGGTTCGAGGTCAGGGCCTGGGTGCTGTGGTTCGAGTCCAGGACCTGGCGGCTTGCTTCACCCTTTCCCTTTCTATGTCTCTCTCTGGTCAAATTAAAAAATAGTAATAATAAATGGAATTAAATAAATAAATAATTCTTTTAAAAAAGACATTCTACCAAGATCTAAAGAAAAGAAATGATAGTCAATGCAATAGCACACATTATTTTGCATATATGAATAGAATATCAGTACTGTTAAAGACAAAATCTCATGAGATATTGTGAGATATTTTGTGAATATAAAATTAATTTTATTATCTTTCAATATTATGACAAAAATAAGCAAATAAAGATTTTATTCTGACAGCAAATAAGATAGTAAATTATATAGCTATGTAGTAACACCAACAAAATTCAACAGTTGAAATGGCTTTTTTTTCACTGTTTCTGATGAGTGTTACCTCGCAGTTGAGTTTGTGGGCCTTTATGCTCAATACTTACCACAACTCCAAATTGCTCAGGCTCACAGAGGTCATCATATTCATTCTTGAGTTGTGCTAACTCATTGAGTACCTTCTGTTCAGGAAGATGCTTTATGAGGTTCTGAAAAGAAAAAAATGTATGAAAGTTTGTTATTATATTATTAGGATTGTGAAACATGCATTAACAATTCTAAAGGTGGGCTGGCAGGTGGTGTGCTGGTTAGTGTGCTGGACTCCCACAGAGCCTACTACAGTTCCAGTTTCAGACCTGGAGGCTTATTTTCTTGTTTTCCATCTCTCTCTCTCTCTCTCTCTCTCTCTCTCCTATATCTCTCCAGTGAGCACACATGCCCTATAGCAATTAAAAAGTAATAATAATAAACAAAATTAAATAAAAATTAGTTTAAATAAACAATTCTAGGGACGGGCAGTTGGTGAAATGGCTATTTCGTTGGACTCCCGTGTAGTCGATAGTGGTTTGAGTCCCAGACCCTATGGTTTAAAACTCATGCCGGGTGCATGTGCGTGCGTGCCCAAAATCCTAAGAGGAGAATAGATGACAAGGGATTGCGGCATGACCATGAACCCTGGGGGGTGATTTCTCACTTTCTGCTTCTCCGTTTCTCTGGCAAGCTCACGCGCCCTATAGCAAAAATCTAACCCCCCAAAAAAAATCTAAAAGTGATTAACTAGGATAATAAATTTCTAACTATGGTTATGGTATAGTACCCCTACTTCCTGCTCCAGAAACTGACCAAAAATGAGTTACAATGAAATGGGTATAAATTGAATAAATTTGTTTTGTTTCTATACACTACAGTACATAAATTTTAAATAAAAACATTATATTGGAATAAATAACATTCTGAGATTGAGTAACCTTCTGGACCTTTAACAAATAGAATAATTTTTTTCGAGAGATTTTTGCTATAGGTAGCATGTGTTCACCAGAGAAACAGAGAGGCAGAAAGCATGAAATCACCCCCAAAGGTGATAGCCGTGCTTCAATTCCTTCTCCTCCATTCTCCTCTTGGAATTTTGGGCATGCACGCACATGCAACCAGTGTGAGTTTTGAGCCTCCGGATCTGGGACTCAAAATCTTTTTTTTTTTTTTTTTGAGACATTTTTGCTATAGGGTGCATGTGCTCGCCAGACAGACAGAGAGAGA